CCCACAAACGGAAACAGATTATACATCTGGCTCTGCATCCTCATTTTTTTTACTTAATAATCTATGTTGGAATTTCTCTGCGTCAGAACAAATAGAGCTACTGTATTCTGTTTAACAGTTGCCCAGCATTCCAGCACATGCAAGCTCCACAGTGCTCAGAAAAGCAGGTTGTTTCTACTCTTTTTTTTTTTTTTTGAGAGTTGTTTTTTGTTTTTTTTTTTTTTTTTTTGCGCTCACCATAAAGACAGAGACAGAAAGCAAGAAATCACCTCCCAGGGGGGTGGCCACACCGAAATCCCTTCTCCTCCATTCTCCTCTTGGGATCTTGGGCACAGATGCACATGTGCCTGGCATGAGTTTAAGCCACCGGGTCTGGGATTTGAATCACGGTCAACAACATGGGAGTCCAGCAACATAGCCATTACGCTAACTGCTGGTCCCTTTTTTTTTTTTTGTGGAGAGCAGTTGTTTCTACTCTTATAAACACAGCTATAACAAATAACTTCACACGTGTATTATTTGGCACATGTGTGAGTATGTTTATGGGATAAATTCCTAGAGGTGAAATTGCTGAGTTAATGGGCATGTGCATTATTAATTTTTAAAGATAACGCCAAAGTGTCACTGCCCCCACCCCCAAACTCCAGGTATTCCAAATCCTCACCAGCAGTATTTTTATTACTGCCAATCTAAAAAGTAGAATATCTTCCAAGCATAGCTTGACTTGTCTTCGTTGTGAGCAAAAAGGAATTTTCTTTCCTACATAAGAACCATTTATGTTTCCTTTGTGAATTCTTTATTTATATCCCTTGTGGGATTTTTTTTTTCCTGGAGTTTCATATTTTTCTTGTCAATTTGTAACTGTACTTTATATGTTAAAGAAACTAGCTCTCTCCTGAACAGTGATTTTTAAAATAGCATTATTGAGATATGATTCATACATCCTACATTTCACCTATCTAAAGTAAATTCAGTGAGTTTAGAATATTCACAGAATGAGAGACCAGTGCATGATGTGGTGGTTGGGGCACTGGACTCCCACACGGTCAATGGCAATTCAAGTCCTGGACCTTGAAGCTTGCTTTCTCACTCTCTCTCTCTCGTGATCACATGTGCCCTATAGCAAAATTTACAATCATCATCATAATAAATTAAATAAATAATTCTTAAAAAAAAAAAAAGAATAGTCACAGAATTGTATAACACTCGATTTTAGAACACTTTTGCCATCCCCAGAAATAGCCCTGTACCTGTTCATAGTTATTCCCCATTCTGCTCCCACCTCCTCACCCCAACAGCCCTGGGCAACCACTAAGCAATTTTCTGTTTCGATAGATTTTCCTACTCTAGATATTTTGAACAAGTGGAAACATACAATATTTGTTCTTTTGTGTATTTCTCTTGGTGTAATGCTTTCAAGTTTTATCCACGTGAAAGGTTGCAGCATGTGTTAGGCTATTCCTTTTGCCAAATAATATCCCATTGCTATGAACATGCCATATTTCATTTACCTGTTTGTCAGAATGGAAGACACTGGGTTTTCCCCTCATTTTTAGCAACTATAAATAATGCTACTAAGAGCATTTATGTACAAGTTAGTTGCAGAGTATTTTAAGAAATTGGATTAGCGCCCCCGTGTTTGAAACCAGGGGATTTTATGCAGACACACAACCACACTGGACTAGAATTCTGGCCGGCTGAGGTTGAGGAGTGACTGCTCCATCATGATCAAGTGAGCATGCCTCCGCCACATCGCCCCTGCTCTCACCTGCTGTACCCTCTGTTTCTGTCACCTACTTGGCCCTCGAAGCCTTTGAGTTTGAGACAGGCTTAATCACAGGCTCTTCACTGTGACTATGCAAAGTGTGGTCCCCAGACAGCAACAGCATCACCTGGGAGCGTGTCAGAAATACAGAACTTCAAGCCCTGCTTGCTTTCTTCCTTTTTGAGGGGGTTGTCATAGAGTGCGTGCACTCACCAGAGAGAGACAGTAAGAGGGAAAGTGAGCTCTCACCCCTGAGGGTAGATGACCACGCCACCATCCCTTCTCTTCCATTCTCCTCCTGGGATTTTGGGCACACATGCACCCAGTACGATTCTCAAGCCACCAGGTCTGTGACTCAAACCACAGTCGGGAATGTGGGAGTCCAGCATCTTAACCACCACATCACTCGCTGGCCCCTGAAGCAGAATCTAGAATTTAACAAGAGCCCCCAGGGAATTAAAGTCCCATTAAATGGAGGAAGGACTGGGCTGCGAGATGATCTGCTGCCACAGCAATGTCTCCCTGGGGCACTGCCCATTTACGAAGGAGTGCATGGTGGGTTAAAGGCACAGGCTTGGATCCAAACTCTACCATAGATCTGTGACCTTGGGCAAGTTCTTTTACAAGGAGAAGTACAGTAACTACCATACGGAACTATCGTGTGGACTAAATGAGATAATGCATGTTAAGTACTTAGAAAGCGCCTGGCACGCAAAGGGAAACACAAAAGTGATAGTACTACTGTTATTATTTATCAATACAGAACGACATCGGTATATAACATGACAGTCTACAGAATTTTAGGCAAAACACTAACAAGGGACATTTGTATAGAGTGAGGAAATCTAATTTAAAAAGCGACACCACCACCCTGATCTTTTGGGCCCACTGCCTAATGTCTCCTGGATCCATCTTGGTTCCTGGTAGCCATGACAGCCTGGGAAGACAGTTCAGTCTGAGCTCCAGGGCAGGGCTGGCTCTCAGCACCCATCAGGTCCGAGAGAGAAGGTCCATTATGCCAAGGGTCTCTTGACGTGCAGTCAGGGCTTAGGGTCCGGCCGGTTTGGAGTAGGGAGCCCATGTGTGCATACTGAGCTCTATTGTCTCAAGTTAGTAGATGTCCCTCTGACCTCTGTGCTACTACCTGTGCCCATGTGGTGCTTGGTACCCTCAGCTTCGAGTGACCCCAGCTTCCCCAGCCTCTGACCTCTGTCAACCGGAAATAGAGCATCAGGTAGATTCATCTTCCCATGTCTCCATCCCCGACGCATTGTAGGTATGGGCATCACGGTGTGATCTGACAACTCTTGATCGAAGGGGCCCGTCATCAGCCAGGCCTACTTTGGGATCTAGTTTTACTAGGCCTTCTGGCTCAGAGAGCTGACAGGACCTGGGGCCTGGCCTCACACAGAGCAGGCGTCAAGAGATGAGAGTGAGGGGCCGGGCCAGGCTATGCCAGGACAGCTTGCAGAGTGAAATGTGGGGGTTGGGGTAGGGTTGCAGAGGGACTCTGAGAATTCAGTTCTCAAAAAATGCCTGCTTCAGGAATGAACAGGACAGAAGCCTGCACTGACAGAGAGACAGAGAGTGCGAGATGAAAGGGTAGCGTGAGGTGAGCAGGGTGCATGGGAACAGCACAATCACTGGGAACGCAGACATGGCTGACAGCTGACGCTGCTGACGGCCACGTGAGCTGCTTGGTAATTCCAGGCATGGGGTGCCCAGGCTGCTGCAAGATAAGACACCCTCAACACCCCATTCCCACAGCCGCCATCAGGCTAGAGACCAGCTCTGACACCTGGTGCATGGGGCATGTCCTCCTGGGCCTGACACCTCGTCTCTTTCTGGTTCTGCCTGTGACTCCCTGAGGGACCTTCAGCAAGTCACTCGACCTCTCTGTGCCTCGGTTTCCTCATCTGGAAATGTGATGTTAATGAAGGGAGTGCCTCCCAGAGCTGTTGAAAGGATCTGTGTGTCCATGTGTGCGAAGCCGTGGCACGGGTGGTATGCTGCCAGTGCTCAGTGACCGTGAGCTATTTCAGCTGATTCCCTCCTCCGCCAGCAGGGGATTGGGAGCAGAGGTTTCCAGGTGACAGAGGTACGGGCTGACACCACTAGCCTAGGATGACATTCTGGAGATGGGAGGGAAGCTTGGGGATAGGGTGGCCTCTCTATCCCTGGGCCGGAGAAGGCAGGCAAAAGCAGACGTGGCATGAGGTGTCTCCACTTCTGGAATTCTCAAGGAAGGCCATGAAAGATAGAGGAAGGCTGGAGAGCTCTGGAAATGCTGTCAGCAGAGGACAAGGAAATGGGGAAAAGAGGGGACATGGGCAGGTCAGGCCCCGTTCAACTCTTCCCAGATCCTGGAGGACAGGGAATATTGTCTACCCATTTAACAGACAGTGAAATTGAGGCACAGGGACGGGGCAAGACTTGCCAAAGAGCTTCCAATGTGTACGGCTCTCCCAT